AATGATTGATATGTTCATTTAATTGATTTAGTTCTGTTAAAATATTTAATTTTATTGATATCAATTGATCAATCAATCATGTCTAATCTACGCAATGTTACATATGAAAATATTCGACATTCCTCTTGAAATCAGAATCACAAGCAATTTAATCAGATGACTTTAATATCCAAATACAATACTTCCAAATACCTAAACTCTTCACATCCTTCTCTCTAGTACATTTCTCCTGTCACTGCAAGTGCATAGGAACTTCGACTTGTGGCATTGCGGGCATATAGTGTTTGCCATAATTTCGGCAATTTTCGCTTACCTTTCATGGCCGGGCACAAATCGAATACCTTCACGGAGGCGCGACTCGAAAACTGTCCAATTACCATTTCCAGATAGTAAATCGGCTTGCCAATTAGGAATAGCACAATGAGATAGGGTATTAGAAAGGCCCCGCCCCCATTATCCAGTGCCGTGAACGGGAAGCGCCACACATTGCCCAAGCCCACAGACATTGCAATGCAGGACATCAGAAACTCCACGCCCTTGCCCCATGTAGCGCGCTCGCCCTGCCGCGTGCCCGTCGATTTGTTAGCTTCCTGTTCGGCCTCCGTTGTCGTCTCTGCTGGCAGTGACTATGCGTTTGAGTGTGTGTGTGTGTGTGTGTGTGGGTGGGTGCAGTGGAGTGCATGTGTGTGAATCGAGCGATTAGTTTATAGGTCATTTGAAATTTTCGGCCATAGATTTTGGTACACTTACCGACATGGCCAATGTGCTGGTGGTGCTATTGCCATCGTCGCCCACAAAACCTGGATTTCGCTGCGACGTTTTCATTGTGAAATCTGCGTACTGGCACTGTGTGGAGAGAAGAGAGAACGTGAGAGTTTCTGGTGTTCTATGAGCTATGGTTGTGCAATTAACACTGACTGCTGGATTTTGATGGTGGGACAGGCCATAAAACTGACAATCAGATAAAGCAAGAGACTTTCAGACTTTTAGATAAAAACTGAATTCGCCAGGATGATCGACTAAGCAATGACCTGTACTTTTGATTTTGGTATGCTTGAAAATTTTAGACTATGTTTTAATAAGGTCAGAAACTTGCTTTAGTTATAAGGCAGAAGGCAGTCAGTAAAAGTAGAA